CTCGTTAGTCAGGTACAACTCGTTAGTCGGTACAGCTCGTTAGTYGGTACATCTMGTTAGTCGGTACAGCTCGTTAGTCGGATACATCCCATTGGTCCAGTATACCTTGTTACCCAGGTACACGTTGACAGCTGGGTACATCTCGTTAGTCAGGTACAGCTCATTAAGAGTTTGTAGGATCTCAGGTAGATGACAGAATTAGTTGTCCTGGTCTGAGTGAAGGATGATGAAACTTAACATTTCTCTWAGAGCAGTCATCAGAATGTTTCTTAACTAAAAGCTTCTGAGAGGTTTGTTATTTTTGGCACAAAGTCTGTGACGTCTAGATGGCCTGGACCTATAATCTGTAACGTTTCCTTGTCAGGATGTTATTAATCCTTTTAATGCTTGAACAGAGGACAGCAGCAGTCCATCATGAYCACTAACAGGAAGACGTGAAGTTGTCGCAGACTGAACAACAACACAACCGCTCCGTTAAAATAAACATTCTGTTTACAGTTTTCTAATTATCAGTTTGTTGCTTTGCCTGAAAGTTGATTTAATAAAAGCAAACTGTCAGAGTTTTGTCAATAAAAGAGAATATTTTAAATACTTCAACACCATCTAAAATAAGATCAAGATAAGCTCCTGTGATGATGGCAGGATGTTTAAATGATGACGACGCCCAGCTAAAACCGTTAAAATTCACCCAACCGTGTGAAACCAGAGGCTGAACGTGACGGCGCAGGAGCTGGAAACATTCCTGACAGCTCGGCTGTTTGTGTTTGTTTGGCCGTCGGTCGTGTAGGGGTTTGTCAGGTAACAACCTGATCTCCAGAGTATCCCAGCTGAACCGCGCCCCGGCTCAGGTGAAGGCATCCGGCTCTGATACGCTTCAGCCAAACGGCGTGAAAAGATATCAGGTGAATCAGGCATGAGTAAGAGTCACGAACACCCTGATGGACACCAGGGCTTCTKAACGCTACAAAAAACTGTTTGTCAAACAAAAAACAAACAATTAACTGTTTGAATCAGATTAAAACTAAACAAATAACTGTTTGACAGACAGAAACTGAACTGAATAAAGCAGGAAGAAGGAACGAGTGTCTGCAGGACAACAGAAAACCAGAATCTGAACGTTGATGTTTTCTGTTCTGAGGCGGCGAAACGAAGCCAAGAACATCTGACCAGGAGCCAGATCTGACCGCTCCGCCGCTACCTGAGCTCAGTGTTTTCTCGTGGCCGTGGCAACCAGCGGGCTTTGTGAGCAGGAAGTGCCGCGAGGACAACAGGATGTGCCCTGGCTCCGCCGCCGAGGGTCGAAGAATTCCAGGAAGTTATTGTACTTTGTGGAATGAGCTCAGGAATGTAAGATGTCTGACTTTTCTTTTCTCTCTAAAGGTCTGAGTCGTGTCACGCGTCGGAGCCAGATCAAGACCCCCGGGTTTGTGTGGCCAACAGCTGATCCTGTTATCACCCACCTCCTTCACCAGAGACCACCTGAAACATCCAGAGACCACCTGAATGCATCCAGAGACCACCTGAATACATCCAGAGACCACCTGAATACATCCAGAGACCACCTGAAACATCCAGAGACCACCTGAATACATCCAGAGACCACCTGATCCAGAGACCACCTGAAAACATCCAGAGACCACCTGAATACATCCAGAGACCACCTGAAAACATCCAGAGACCACCTGAAAAATCCAGAGACCACCTGAATACATCCGAGACCACCTGAATACATCCAGAGACCACCTGAAACATCCAGAGACCACACTGAATACATCCAGAGACCACCTGAAAAATCCAGAGACCACCTGAATACATCCAGAGACCACCTGAAACATCCAGAGACCACCTGAAACATCCAGAGACCACCTGAATACATCCAGAGACCACCTGAAACATCCAGATACCACCTGAAAACATCCAGAGACCACCTGAAACATCCAGAGACCACCTGAATACATCCAGAGACCACCTGAAAAATCCAGAGACCACCTGAATACATCCAGAGACCACCTGAAAAATCCAGAGACCACCTGAATACATCCAGAGACCACCTGAAACATCCAGAGACCACCTGAATACATCCAGAGACCACCTGAAAAATCAGAAGACCTCAGCTGGTCAGAAAGACCACCAGTGGCCTGAAGATTAAAAAAATAACCTGGTCCAAAACTGGTCTAAACCAGGTCTAGAACTGGTCCTAAACTAGTCTTCAGCTGGTCTAAAACTGGTCCAAACCTGGTCCAAAACTGGTCTAAAACTGGTCCAAAACTGGTCCAAAATTTGTCCATGGCTGGTCTAAAACTGATCCTAAACTGGTCTACACCAGGTCCAAAACTGGTCCTAAAATGGTCCATAACTGGTCTAAAACTGGTCCATAACTGGTCTGAAACTGGTCCATAACTGGTCTAAATCTGGTCCATAACTGGTCTAAAACTGGTCCAAAACTAGCCTAAAACTGGTCCATGTCTAAAACTGGTCCACAGCTGGTCTAAAACTGGTCCATAACTGGTCTAAAACTGGTCCATAGCTGGTCTAAAACTGGTCTGAAACAACTGGTCCAAATCTGGTCTAAACCAGGTCCAGAACTGTTCCTAAACTAGTCTTTAGCTGGTCTAAAACTGGTCCAAACCTGGTTCATAGCTGGTCTTAAACTGGTTTAAAACTGGTTTGAAACAACTGGTCCAAAACTGGTCTAAACCAGCACCAGAACTGGTCCTAAACTAGTCTTCAGCTGGTCCAAAACTGGTCTAAAACTGGTCCTAAAATGGTCCATAGCTGGTCTAAAACTCGTCTAAACCTGGTCTAAAAACTGGTCCACAACTGGTCTAAAACTCGTTCATAACTGGTCTAAAACTGGTCCAAAGCTGGTCTAAAACTGTCCATAACTGGTCTAAAACTGGTCCATAGCTGGTCTAAAACTGGATAAAAACTGGAAAACCAGAAAACAAGAGAACGTCCTGAGCCCAGGTTGTTCTGATCCAATAGAGGAGCTGCAGATCTCAGTTGATCTCAGCTTAACTGAGATTCTGTTGGGTGTTCTGGACCAACGACTCACATCTCAGAACCTCAGGGTTTAAAGGACCTGCTGCTGACGGGTCAGAACCAGAGACCACAGCAGAGCTGCAGAGGTCCAGGAGTCCTGGAGGAGACGGGTCAGAAAACTAAAACAAAACAAAAAAACTTTCTGCTTTATTTTACTTTTTTTTTTTACAAACAGAAAGATAAAACTTTATTTTTTCTTCAACAAAATACAAAAATAATCAAAAAATTGCAGCTTCAGCTAAAAAAAGAATTACGGTCAGACAGAATGAGAAACATTTAGTTTAATCTAAAAGCTTCTGGCTGCAGAACGGCTGTGAACCAAAGAGCTCACGGTTCTGATCCAGTTCGTCTGTGTCTGTCCTCTGCAGAAGCTGCAGTTTGTCCAGGTTTGATGACAGATCAGTGTCGCCTGCTTTTAATCAGTTCAGGAGTTTAGAAAGAAGAAATATTAAAGCTCAGAAACACAAAGAAAAGTTTTATCTGAACTTTCATTCTCTGCATCTCTTCACAACATTCCCATATTTTCCTGGTATTGTAAAGGAAAAATGCTGCATTGTGTCGGCTTACTGAAATAGAAGAGACAAGAATAGAGGCGACTGGAATAGAACTGAATAGAATCATCATTTATTTGATCATGGGCTAACGATTAATCCTGCAGCAACACAACAACTGAATAGTTACAGTTCAATAAAATGCTAAGTTTATCTTCGACTGTGACCTCTGACCTTTCAGTGCAGCCRGTGGCATCAGGCGGACCCAGAAACCCAGACCCTGAACCCTGGACCTGTTCCCTCCTCGGACTTGGTCGTCTCTGCAGTTCCGGATGTTTCCGGCGTGATGGGCCTTCTCCCCGACACGTGGACGGAGCTGCAGGTCAGAGGTCACAGAGGTCACAGGTTAACACCACAGACAGCGCTACAACAACAAACAGGTTGTGTGTCCCCCCACCCGAGCCAGGGGCTCAAAGCTTCACTTTCAGACCCCGCTGATCCCAACACCTCAGCTAACGTCTCAATCTTCCACACCACYGCCGTCAGAGGGATTAAAAACACGAAGGATTCAGTTTGAAATGTTTCTTTTACTAAAATGATCACATCTGAAAAATAACATTTTGATTCAAATGAAACTGAAAGTCTTTTCTTCTTCTGCAGCGTCCAACAGAACAAAAGTACAGCTAAAAACACAGATAACAAAGTAAAAGTCAAACAATTATAGTTTGGAATACAAGCTAACCAGCTAGCCTAGCATTAGCCGAGTTCGTGCACAGTTTTTATTTTATGTCCTGATTCATTTCCTGTTAAAGGCTTTTATTTTTATTTTTTCTGAGCAGATGGAGGACGGAGAAACGGCGGCTCTGCTGCAGGATCAGATGTTTGCGAGGCGATGAAAGCTGCGTTCTGCAGGATCAGGGGGGGTTTGTGGGTCGATGATGGACAGGTTAACTGGTTTGACCCCCCCCCCCCCCCCACACACACACACACACACACACACAGCTGAAGACAGACACACAACACACAGAACACCACCAACATAGAGCTGCAGAGATGACAAAACAAAGATGGTGGACCTGAAAATACAAACCCAGCATCTTCTGAAGCTGTAGATGTTTGGTCCAAAATGCAGCAGTAAGGGTGCTGACCCGCTCCAACAGAAGGGTTCATGTTACCCTGCTGCTAAAATCACTCCCAGTGGTTTCTCATTTTAAGTTTAAAACCCTGGTGCTAACGTTTAAAGCTCTCCATGGTCAGACTCTCTTATACGTTAAAGCCCTGCTGTGTCTGTATTTACCCTGTCGAGGGCTGAGGTCCTCAGATCAGAACCTAAAGGTCCACTTGGTGATCACTCCTTCCAGGCYGTCTCCAAGGCTGAATGATCTTCTGTTCTCAATACGTGCACTTGATTCTGTGGYTGCTTTTAAGAGCAAATTTAAAAYTTTCCTTTGTTATAAAGACTTTTAACAGTTTCAGTGCGTTGTTTGTTTCTTAGAAATTGTTTTATGATTTTTWTCTGTATAATTTTGCACCTTAGTAAAGCACTTTGTGACCCTCTGTCTGTGAAAGGTGCTGTATAAATAAACTTTTACTTACTTAAATCAAAACGAKGAAATGTTTCTGTGAAGTTTATGTGTCTGTCTGTTAGCTAAACGTTAGCTTAGCCCAGACACTGAAAAGAGGCGGAGACACCCGGTCTAAACCTGGTCTAAAACTGGTCCAAAACTGATCCATAGCTTGTTTAAACCTGGTCTAAACATGGTCTAAACCTGGTCCAAAACTGATCCATAGCTTGTTTAAACCTGGTCTAAACATGGTCTAAAACTGGTCTAAACCTGGTCCAAAACTGGTCCAAACCTGGTGCAAAACTGGTCTAAACGTGGTCTAAAACTGGTCCAAAACTGATCCATAGCTTGTTTAAACCTGGTCTAAACATGGTCTAAACCTGGTCCAAAACTGATCCATAGCTTGTTTAAACCTGGT